TTAATTTATTATTCAAAAATATAAATCTGATATAAGAAATATTTTGTGCTAATATAATGCCAACAAAGCATTGCTGTTTTGCGAATTGTACGTCGGATAATCGATATCTGGAAGGAAACGTGTTTTTCATACCATTTATATAACCTCATATTAATGAGGTTAGATGTAAGAAATAGATACATGCTTCGAGAAGAGTGGATTTAACAGTGCAAAAAATAAATAAATATTGATATGTATGCTCTAAACATGAAATGAATAGTAAAATTTTCATAGTTAATTACCATTGATTAGAATGAGACATAACCTCAACCGTTCATTAAACTATATTCATTTATTATATTCAATTAAATTAATTTCATTACCATCTATATTTGATTCATATTGCACTCGGAAATAAATCTGAAATTCATAGATATTTTAAATTTCTTTTAGTACAGTTTGAATCTATCGCTACTCTTTTACTAGAGTCTGTATACTAACCTGTCTATTAATTAACTTTTTTTCCAGTTACTTTTAAATTACGGCATGCAAGCTAACGTTTTAATGTTACAACATTATTATCCGTTACAGTTGTAAAGTTCAGTTTTGCTCCAGGAACGTCTTCTTGTGTTGAAAATATTCTTTTTCAATAGTACTTTAGCATTTTATGTGTATATAAGGATTAGGCAGTGTTTGTCCCTACCGAACTACTAGCGCTGCTAGTAAGTGATTTTTCGTACTTCAGGAAAAAGGTTCATTGAAACCACACGGCGACCACTTACAAAATTTTGTCTCGGGATTCCCCTCCACCCCACTACTTTCAAAAGGTCCCATCTACTTGCCGTTCTCCTGATAAAGAATCTGACTTTCGATTTATCGAATACAGAAATCCTACCTCAAAAGAATGAAGGATCGGATTGAATCAGTCCCATTGGATAGAAAAATTGAATCTGCACCGAGAACTAATCATCATAATTGTATTGGGAAAATGACTGACGAAAGATATTTGAGAAGACTCAGAACTTTCGATAAGTAATATAAATATTTCATTTAATAATATCTTGTCTCAAAAAAGCGAAAGATTCAATTTGGATTGCCTACTCCTCAGGAAACGTTTTAGAATCATTTGAGATCACCGTTAAGTAATGTAAAAATTAAATAAAAAGTACAGTAAGTTTTTGTAAACTCTACACAATATTATCTTCGGTAACATTGATTTCAAGTATTTTCCTCATGTAATGCTCCTGATCTAACTATTTTTAGTACATCTATTATCTATTGGTATATTTAGATCTTTCACAAATTGTTCCCATAAGTTGATGAATGTCAGTTCATTATTGCATTGTCTCAACATGTAGGTAGTAGGAATTTCATAGAGCAGTGTCTAAGAGATGGAACATTTGTTGTACCATGTAATAGATTTCCGAAGACGAAAATAGTGATAATCATCACCTGATTCCATACATATACCATACATATAATCATATACCATACATATAATCATTGTAACACGAAACTGTTTCTCTGTATTTATTGAAAACGTGTATGATTTGAGGGTGATAGCACAAAATTATTCAAGTGAAAATTAAAAACACTGAGTATTCATTTGATAAAACTGCAATTGTCTACACAAAGTTCACACCAGACGAGTTGAGGAATGGTTTAGTAAAAATTATTATTGTAAGAGATATATTTATAATAGATGAATAAGTCGTCGTATTCTGTTTTATTGTCACAAGGTTCTGATTCTCTCTCTCATCCAAGAAAAATTAGTAGGGAAAACGGAAGTATTAAAAAAAATATGTTTGAAATATGTTTTTTCCGTGAACCAGCTATCCCACCCCTACGAACGACAACACTCAGAAGTCGAAACTTGTGCGAGCTAAGGATTAACGAGGTCTTACTTTTTGACGTGTGATTTCTAACACAGAATGGTAAAAAATAGGGTGAAATTGAAAACTTGGGAAAACTGAAAGAAGTCTTCGTCAAAATTTTTCAGATCACAGAGGCTCAGATTGTTCAGTTCAAGAACTCACGAGAACTAGGCCTCATAATAGAGAAAACATTATTGATTTTGGGAATTGAATACAACTGTTGAGAAGTAGTGTTCTGCAGAGAAAAAGTAATGATGTCAATTCAACTGAACCCAAAAAATGTCATATTATTCTTTTTATGATAAAAGAGCACTGAGTACCTACTTCTATTGCAGGGTGTACCAGAAACCAGTTTGGCTAAATTAGCCTAAATGAGTCCAACGTAGACAACAACAAATTAGGTTCCTAACAAATCTTGACGTTTTCGGAAACTCAAAAAATGTCTTCAAACCTAACCAAATATCACAAAGGCAATCACCCCAATCCGAAACAATGTCGAAAACCTCAAGAAATCCAACAGTAGCATCCAAAAATCGACAATTTTAAAATCACGGATTTCAAAACTTCGAAAATAACACCTAAATACCCAAACCAGACGAAAATATGAGATTTGACAATGACCAAGACCAAAATTTTCTCTCGGATAACCAAAACAAAAACCTTACATAGGAG